CAACTGAGAAAGCAGGGCGAGATACGTCCCATCAGGATCAGAAGAGTACATCACCCCATCAACTCCGACTGCAGCTAGCTGATGAACGATATTACCCCAGTAACTTTGCGCATACCAGTACTCAAACTGTGCACATCTGTCATCAACTGGGACGCAAACAGACAGACCCCCAGCAAGTACGAGGGTTACAGAACTGTTTGCTTGCGATGTGCAGGCAGCATGCACGACGAACTGTCTCACCAATCCTGCCAAACTGAACCAGTGTAAGTTGATTGCGTGGATATGTCTCTATTTATAACAGCTACCCTACTTCTAGGCATAGACTTGATTGGTTGCATGAATACCATATCACTCAGAGCAGTTGTTAGAAGTCTGGACAGCCTCGGAATAGTGCAAGCAAGGCCACGCTTTGTTTTTTCTATGTTTCTCGTCGGCAAATTTTAACAAAAGGTATGCGGGCGGGCGGAAAAAAAACAAAAGCCAAGGAAAAAGCAAGAACTGAAAACTGTATACATTGCGTGATTCATACAAGACGCTGCGCATACCATGTATACAGTACTACATTGTACAATCATGTACATGTAGTCCCATACATGATTGCACTACGTTTAATATCACATCAGTCCACGAATATCAGGCAAACTGCAACAATGAGAATATAAAGTTTGATGAATACGAGATGGCGAAGAGAACATACATTTATCTGCTATCGCATCAACAAACGCTTTCCCACTCGTCATTTTTGGTTGTGTTACTTCAACGTTCTTGTCTCCGCTTATCAAACTCTTGTCCTCACGCTGCTCATCTTTTCCTCACCATGGCCGTGCGTCTATTCCTTGGATTTTCTGCCCACGACATTATTCCACAGACGCCAGTTGCCACGGAACTCGTCCGACTTACGGTATTCCTGGGACCTACGAGGCTTAGGCAGTGAACGACTGAAAGTGAAAGCTTCATCATGGCAGCCTTCATCGCAGAGAACGGACGGGGAGCGCTCCTTTGCTGCTGAGATGCAAACGTTTACGATTTTGATTGACGCATCTAGCTGCTGCAGCATGTGCAGCATACATACTATGTACAGTCATGTACATAGTATGTACTTTTTTTTTCTTCCGAAATTTCTGAAAACCTACGCGGGCGATGACGAGAAACATAGAAAAAACAAAGTGTGGCCTAAAGTGAAACAAAAATTTATTGCACTCCGAGTTCCACGCTTGCAGGATCTCCAGGCCAAAAAAATCTAATTTCGAGCAAGGAATGGGTTCTGGTTGTATGCGAAAGAAAAGTAAGTGAAGACCTATTGTGCAAGGAATACAGTGGGAACTACACATATTATACACATGCACTCACACCTTCACCCACATGCGCGCTGGCACGTGTGCGTACACACACAAAACACGACAACACACACACATACGTACCCACATACTCAAACTCACTCGCACGCACGCTAGCCTAAGGATAGTACATATGCTGTAGTAGTGGTATACTAGAAAACGAGTTTATTGACAAAGCCTATCGCTTGAAACGATAAAGTATGGGTTCGGGTGTGATCAAATGCACCCATGGTGCTCATAAACTGTGTGCAGTGCTCTCTTCACCAACAGAACACTACCTACCATACTTTGTAGATCTTGTACCAATCCAAGGGAAAATGACAAAGACAAATGTGAGTCATGCATGAAAACTTGTGATAGCACTATAGTACAGAACAACGTTGTTCGTGCTATGCCTGACAACAATAAGTTACACACAAAACATTACGCGCATCGATCCTCACAAGATAAGTCAAGACATACTCGGAGCAAAGAGAAATTTGTTTGTGTCATGCATGAAACTTGTGATAAATACCAGTACAATGTCTTTCTTGTGCGACGCCTACTGTAGTGCGCCTGACAACAATAAATTTCCCCCCAAAAATAAGAATAAGTGTATCATGCTGATACGCGATCCTCACAAGACAAGTCAAGGCAAACTAATTGAGGCTTACCTAATGTCAGACTCTTCTGTCACTGGCATTGGCGGCTTCTGCATGTCGAGATAACCTCGAAGAGTAGTGATGGGCACAGCCTAATGCAAGGATACGATCTCGAAATCTGCGAGGTCCGCTACGCAAGAAACCTTGGGCCGTCTTGTCGACAGCGACGGCAGCATCCTACCAGCAAAATCATTCCCGCGGGCTGGGCATGGCTATACACTTTTGTCCACGCTCGCACCAGTCGGAGTCCCAAACGAATCGAGATTCTGGTGGCCAAGCTACTCGTCTTCTGTCGGACGCAGCTGCTGAAGCATCTTCTTCCTCAACATTTGTTACACGCGATGGCAGCTCCTCAGCAGAGTATCTGGGCTCCCTGCCCCAACCATACGCGGAGGTGGGCTGTTGGTCGTCCTTACTGGCCTCAGCATCGCTGCCTTCATTGCTGGGGACAGAGGATTGTTCGGAATCGCCCATCTTCCCTTGAAATACCAACTAAAATTAGTGCTTGTAGATTGGTGAAGAGAAACAACTATGCCACAATGACGTAGGCAGCCCGTGATGATGTAACCAAATGGCCGCATGACGTCAGGGCGCGGCCCCCGTTTTTGCAATTTCAAAGTGAAATATCTCAAGAACGCTTCGTCGTAGAGGCTTCGGACCAAGACCATTCGACTCAGCGCCCGAAACTCTACAGGCTATCAAAGTTTCATTTTTTCGCGGAGTTCCCCTTTAACCGGTTGCAGACCGGTTACGAAGAATTAACGGTTAACCGATAAAGATAACGGTTACGCAGTAACTTTTCAGTCAATTTTTCAAGTATCAGGTCGTTGCAAAGTGTGCACTTTCGCGGGCTGTCGCACGCGTACGCAATTTCTGGGCTGTCAACTCGGTCATATCTGGTCTCTTGGTGTGAGAGTATGTATAAATGAGCATGCAAGAGAATGTACAAGTGTGCGTTGTACTGAATAGGGTACATTTTTTGAATGAGCATAGTCAAATATATGGTTAAAAAAGAGTCCGCAGGATTGCCGTGGCTTATAGGTTATAACCGGTTAACCGACCGTTAGCTTAGCAGTTAACCGTCAGGGGTAAAACCGTGACCGTTTGAGCCCTAACAAAAGCGATGCGACAGGCGCGAAACCGGGAAAACCCCAAATCACAGCCATGTCGCACCCCACGCAACTGCCGCAACTGGGCCATCGCAGGCCGTTGAGCTTGGCTCAACTTTTGCGATGCGATGCGATGCGACAAGCGATTTGGCGTACGATTTTGACCTTTTTTACAGCAAAGTTGTACAAAGGCTCAAGAGTTGCCTATAAATTTGTACAAGTTGTATCAAACCGCGCGAATATCATGGTGACGTAGCCAAATCAGCAAGATGTGGTCGCATCACCACTGATCACTGACTGTGACTTCTTCTGTGAATGGTATTTCGCGAGTTATTATTATTATTATTATTATTATTTTATTTATTTTACTAGGGTGTTTCCCACAGACCTATGGTCTTCTTACGGGAGCCCCTAGAAAGGTTAAGCATGAACGAACAAATGGGCGATAATCTGTACAAGAGCGAACAGTGGAAGGCAGCATATTCCACCGATCAGAACCTATGTAGCCAAGACGAGAAAAACCAGCTTTAGTGTGGGCAGAAGGCAAGGCCAGAGAAAAAGAGATTTGGGACCTAGTGACGGCAGTAGTATGTGCACTGGAGGAGCGGGTATGACAAATTTCTTTTAGGAGAGAGCTACATGTGCCGCTATGGACAGAGCGAAATACAAGAATAAAAAGCTTCAAATTGACTCGGACGGAAATGTGAGAGAGATTGTATAGGCTAAGAATATGACAGGCACTGGTAAAGTTATCGAAACCAAAAACTATTCTTAGACACCTGTTAAATAGCCGGACATACTTATCGAAATAGTAAGAACTGAGGGTGTGGACGTATGCGCTACTTGCATACTCCAATGACGACTGAATAACACTAAGGTAAAAGCTACGCCGTGCGTGGAATGGCAAGAGATGTCTTGACATGCGGTAGGCGCCGAGTTTCCTGTTGACAGACCCAATCAAGCCGTCAATTTGTGGCCCAAAAGTCAGGTGCTCTCTCTGTCTCTCTCTGTCTCTCTCTCTCTCTCTCTCTCTCTCTCTCTCTCTCTCTCTCTCTCTCTCTCTCTCTCTCTCTCTCTCTCTCTCTCTCTCTCTCCGCCATTCCTCTCGCCCCCCCCTCTCCCATGGTGCTTGCTGTGTACGCCGATCCCGAGACCCTTGGTCAGGGGAGTCCACTGCATCTCACCAGCGCAGCTCATGTAGCGCCTACACACCCATTGTTGTCTTTTTTGTTTCGTCTTCGTTTTGTCTCCCCCTTCTTCCGTAGGTTTGTGCAATGTGATAAAAAAAAATAAAAAAAACTAGTTCGCATCGCACGCGTCGCATCGCGACAAGAAACTGCCTGTCGCGAGCTGTCGCAAGCTGTCGCAATGCACCTGTCGTAGAAGTTGAAGAAAGTTCAACTTTTGCGACATGCGACACGCGACATACACAAATGGAGTACAGTTTCGACCCTGGGTGCACGTGCAGTGTACGTGCATGTGCAGTGTACGTGGAGTGCACGTGCACAGTACTACTTGTGCATGAGGATGTCGCAAACATGAAGAATATTGTGAACCATATGTCGCTGTCGCAGCTCGTCGCATGTGTCGCAAGTCGCATGTCGCGTCACAGAAAGTTGTATTGTGCTGAATGCTTGTGGCTCAATGTAGCTGAACCATCGGACCTTATTTGTCAGCTTGGATCACGTGATCCATCCAGTTGCCGCGTGCGGCAAACAGCCCAAATAGCGCTAACTCTGGCCTGCGAGCGTTTGCTGCGACTAGCGCGCTAGCGCTCGTGACATACACAAACGCGCTAGCCAGAATGCTTTGAATTTGAGTTTGACTTTGATGGCTTTCAGCTTCTATTTTTTGAAAAGTAGCGCGCTCAGACCGGCTCGCTCACTCTTTTCTTCTTCCATTTTTTGGGGCAATTGTTTTGTTTGATAGACGAAGCTTAGGGTCTCTTTGGGTTTGCAACCCTTACCCTCCTGGAAAAAATCATAGTTGCTAGACTGCGACACTTCAGACCAGGTACTGTTAGAGCCGCTAATGGACGACGAGCTATTTTCCGCTATCCGGAGCTCAAGCATTTGAGCCGCTAAATGGACGAGACTCCTGGGGTAAAGGATGCAGAGAATGAGGAGAAAACACTCGTATGGAGCAGGGAGTAGGTATTGTACTACTTCCTGGTATGGAGCACTGAGAAGCGGTAAGTCTTAGGGCAATTCTTAGCCAGTAATTACTTTCTCGCCATAATTATGTTCTCGTTTTTCGTGTCTTCTGTAATGCCAGTACACTAGCAGTACGACTACACTGTAGGCGAGAGTCCATAAGCCAGAGTGTGCAGCTCTCCATCTATGCAGCATAAACAAATTAATGACAAATTTCCTTTGCCTAAGGGCTGGGTTCCACTGCCGCTCCGCCGCACATCATCCACGGCATGAAACGTCATCATTATGAGCTGGTCCAGCGAGGCCGCGGCTCATCACCAGCTTTCGCTTCGCTGCTTGATACAAAAAAATGCAAGCCGCGGTCACGGCTTGCATTGTTTCCCGCACTTAATTGTTTTATTCGGGGGAATTTTAACTCGTTGCACAGGCCAGAACACGAGGATTTTTTGGATTTCACGCGCGTGCAGGCAGGCTAAATGTCATCAAAAAAATGTCGAGCACGATCGTGGTACCGTGAATGGCGAGTGTCACTGGAACCGCGACGCTCTGCTGCATGCAGCCAAGTACCGTGGAGCAGCGGAGCTGCGGAGCCGCAGTGGAACCCGGCCCTAACCAAACTTATAGCAATTTGAAAATGTAATGTTTGACAATTTTTCATAAAAAAAACTTGACAACATTGTTCTTCTGTAGAGTGCCGCTGGCAACTCCATCAATGAACTCCATCAATGAGCGCAGGGATAAAGTTTAGAAACCCTTCGAGCGAGAAACGTGTTTTCAAAAAGGAAGCACAAATATGCCGCGTAACTTTCCCTCTAGTATGGCCCCATCAAAGCCACTCGCTGACTACTTACCAGTAAAATGGGGTTGGACGGTTATCAGATTAGCTGACATGTTTCAGCCAACACAACCATAAGCAGTTGTCAACTCTCAAGACTAAAAGAGCTTGCGAAGAAAGTGAGAAACCTTGGCTATGAAAGCACATGAAGCGTCAGAACATAATCGAGCAAACGTGGACCTAGATTACCAGTGTCTGCTCCAGAGCCGGGTCAGTGGCCCTGTTTGTGAGTACTTGGACCTTTTGGAAAAAGAACACTGGGTTACCTCAGGGGCGTCGGAAGCAGTTTAACATTGGTGCGGCGAAAGTGTGAGAGGGGGTCCGGGGGTCCTCCCCTGGGATTTTTTTTGAAAATTGGGCCTAAAAGGCCATATTTTAATGCTACAGAATAATATGAGAAATAAGAATATGCATGCTGATGACACACCGCATTGTTGATGTAAAACATGGTACCTGTACAAGTGTCGACAAGCCATCAACAAGGTTGAAAATGTTTAAAAAAAAAAAACTTCCAAAATTATTGGTGCGGCTTTGGCCGCACCTGCCGCACCGGTTCCGACGCCCCTGTACCTGCGACCCGGTTGGAAGTCCTGTCGAGTACTATACTTTTTTATACTTCGAGGGTACACCACCACTGACAGGCTGCATACGAGTGCAGATGCGTGCGGCCAGAGTGCCCAGTGCGAGTACGTTCATACATGTACATGTACAATCATGTACATCAGGAAGTCAAAAGTAATTTTACGACTCCCTGACACACAGTAGCCGCACTTGAACGCATCTGGCTCTGGCCCAGTGTTGCAGGAGTTGTGCCAGGTAGACGTGTACGCGGTTTGTGTGAAGTCTTAGAGCAGGTACTGCATACCCTATCATATCTGTGTACATGGGTATACAGAGTCAGTGTTGTTGCGTCCCACTCAGCACCCTTCTGGTTCATTTCAGCACCAGCACTCTTTGCGTATGCAGAGTTAAGTAGAGTGCAAGTTCGGGCCACAAGTACACTGTAGCAGCTAGTTGCGAACCTAACCTGTGCAGTGATGCACGGTACTTGTGTACATCTACTTTATCCCTGAGTAACCCACCAGGTATATGGTGCACAATAGGGCACAGTAAATAATCAGCATGCATCGCAGTTTTCTGCAACATACATGTATTCCTGAGGTCACTTTACACCTCAGAAGAAGTGCGTCGCTAACTGTTAGTTATTCCCTGGGGGGTCATTATGTATCGTAGAAAACCCGTCATACAATAGGTTCAAGCTAAAGTACCGTATCACCATGGTAATTACCTGGAAATTCGGTGTGTTTTCTATGTTTTTGTTAAACAAGCGGCAATGTGCAACAGAAATTACCATGGTGATAGAGTAGATGACCGTGTGAAGCGGTGTGAGATGCAGCAAAGGTGAGCCTGTTACTGCGAGTCTATGCCCTAAACAATAAACTTTGCCGTGGGATGATTCTCCTTGGGCTGCACACTCTGGTTAATGTACTCTTTGTGGCAGCATTCTGGTGCCAGAGATGATATTTTTTCTGAAAAATAAGCACTAGAGAAATGGAGTGGGAGTAACCTGAATTATTCTATTAGCAGAGCTGCAATGCTTGGGATATGAGTTTATTCCCGTAGCTATGCAAAAGACGCTATTCAGTTGTACTTAAGGGCCCGGTCACACATGCACTCGAAAGTAGCGTATACGCTGAAGCGAGGTCGCAGGAGCGAAAAATGGCATGGAAACGGCGAAAAGCGGAACTTCCGCTTCAGCGGAAACTCCAATCCGCTTCCTCCAAAATTTTCAAAGCGAGACTGTCGCTTCTGCGGATTCGCTTCAGCGGAAAACACCATGGTCTGCTGTATATGGACTTGCTACGAGAAATTTGTATGTGTATGATGTCCATGCAACAAAAATGCGTGGAAGATATTTAAGATAGTCATTGACCTCGTCTATTCTCCGTACCGTATGCACCACAGTCTCATTTTCCGCCAAAGTAGGAGTTGTGCCCTGTTTGTATGTGTGACCACACACACGTGGTTTCGCTGGAGCAACACCAGGCTCGCTGCCGCCGAACCTCGTCGCCGAAGCGAATTCCAGTGCATGTGTGACCGGGCCCTTAGTAGCATCTGGCGCTAGCCAGTATCCACACCGCTGTAATTCGGTGCGTGTCACGGTGCCTGGTAGGGTGGTTCACGTGGCATGCCATGGTTGGTGCAGTATCCCGTATGTGTCCCGTACCATAATTCGAGTATGCGGTGCGCACCGTAGCATAGATGTATCTGGAGCGCTGTACGAGCTAAGATGTCGGGGCAAATATGGGGACATTCACAACATGCAATGTGAAAATGCACGTCAGTTTCGTTTTAAGAAGTGGGTTTGACGGAGTAAGAAAAGGCCCCAGCTTTGGCTGCTGCATGCTAGCCCAGTGGGTGCCAATCTCCTGCTATCGGCCGAGTGCTGATGGAACGGAGTAGAAGAAAAAGAAAGAAGAATATTGTGTTCAAGAATACAATTTCGGTAAGGGATATACAGTAAAACCTGAAACTAAAGACCACCGTCACTAGCGACCAGCCTGGTACTACCGGCCACTTCGCCAGGCACGGAAGGTCTCACATTCAAAATGCACTGTGACTAGCGACTACCTTCTGAACGCGACCAGCGACCGCCTTTTCCTGTCCCAAAGACAATTTTTGACCCGTAACTAGCGACCGCGATGTAGGAAATCAAATGGTACTCGAAGCTCCTTCTTGAAATTTTACTGATTTTCCATGGTCCTGAAAAGAATCTTTCGATACTACAACTGAACAAATGAACGCAGGTAATTTGGGCTGTGGAGTCGGTGTGGACTTCACTACACCTGTCAAAATTTCAAGCGCTGTCAAGAAAAAACATGATAGGAAACGTCTTGGAGAGCGCATCGAAAGCGCTCTCTGATCGATGTTACTACTCGGAGGAGAAACAAAGACTGGGCGGCTCTGTCACCCCAGTCATACAGACGGATCGACGATGGCATCAAGGAATCCAGAAACAAAGCAGCACCACAAGGTCCTGATGCTGAAGGATCGCGTTCAAGCAATCGAGAAGTCACAACAAGGACAGTCGGTACGATTGATCGCATGAACAAATTTGAAGCCCAGCGCAAAACGAAACTTCCCCAGGGAACGTTTGACTCCTGGCTTCAGAAGTAGCAGCTGAATTTGAAGTCTGCAAAACATTAATCTTCTCTCTCTCTCTCTCTCTCTCTCTCTCTCTCTCTCTCTCTCTCTCTCTCTCTCTCTCTCTCTCTCTCTCTCTCTCTCTCTCTCTCTCTCTCTCTCTCTCTCTCTCTCTCTCTCTCTCTCTCTCTCTCTCTCTCTCTCTCTCCATCTCTCCGTGTTTCTCTCCAAGTGTTGTTTCACCTGAAATAAGAATGACATTGCGCAAGTCCTGGGGAATTGTATTAGCTGCATTTTGACATACATATCATATAATGGGATTCACATATGGTCACGCGGTGCAAACCTCTAACTAAAGACCACCTGCTACTAAAGACCGCTTTTGCTGGCACCAAGGGGTGGTCGTTAGTCACAGGTTTTACTGTACCAGTAAGTGGATAGCTAACTAAAATAATTAGCCGTATGTTTTAGAAATAGTGGTGGCGACACTGGATGGCAGTCGTCAGTCCGTCAAGTGTCAAGTTGACGGAATAGCGCGAGCTCCAGTGTGGGGAGCAAACCCATTCCTAGGTTAGCATACCCCCACCTCACAACAGAGCAACCGAGTTTTGGATTAAGCTGGGAGTGCCGATTCGAGCAACTAGTATGATGGCTCTGCTTGGAGCCACTAGATGGCTCGCAGCTGAGCCGGCAAATGACTCCGCTTGGAGCCGTCAAATGACTCCGCAAGGAGCCACCGAATGACTTCGCATGGAGCCGCCGAATGACTCTGCATGGAGCCGCCGAATGACCCCGCATGGAGCCGCCGAATGACCCCGCATGGAGCCGCAAATTGACTCCGCATGGAGCCGCCAATGACTCCGCTTGGAGCCGCCAATGACTCCGCATGGAGCCGCCAATGACTCCGCATGGAGCCGCCAATGACTCCGCATGGAGCCGCCAATGACTCTGAGTAGAGCCGCCACTGACTCTGAGTAGAGCCGCCAAATGCTAAATAATTATATTGGTATGCATAACCAGTTGAGAGCATATATTCCATAAATCGGCACTCCCGGAGCG